AACAAATGTTTTACAATGAGATAAAAATGTCATCTACCATAGAAATATGTTAACACATGCAACTCACCAATATTCTGGGTATGTAGCACTCAGGGATAATGTCTCATCAATATTCATTATTACAGTATATATTCATTGTGAGGAGAAATAATGTTTGCATGAATATTCATAAGTTCAGTGTGTATGCAGTATAATGTCCAAGTCAAGGCATGTGGGAGTTTGAGTCATGTTTATGTTTTTTCACTCCAAATGTATCCCTTTTACCACCAGTTCCCTCTTTTCATCACAAATTCACAAAATAGTCCCATTTATAGTGACTTTTCTTCAGAAGATTGGGACATAAATAACCAAATACTTTGAGTAAAAACTGAAAATTGTCTGTTGACTGTAAAATTAAGGTTCATTTACAGGAATATTGAGTGATCTAGACTGTGATAAAATAATCAAACAATGAAAGATTAAAATAATCAAACAATGAAAGATTAAAATAATCAAACAATGAAAGATTAAAATAATCAAACAATGAAAGATTAAAATAATCAAACAATGAAAGATTAAAATAATCAAACAATGAAAGATTAAAATAATCAAACAATGAAAGATTAAAATAATCAAACAATGAAAGATTAAAATAATCAAACAATGAAAGATTAAAATAATCAAACAATGAAAGATTAAAATAATCAAACAATGAAAGATTAAAATAATCAAACAATGAAAGATTAAAATAATCAAACAATGAAAGATTAAAATAATCAAACAATGAAAGATTAAAATAATCAAACAATGAAAGATTAAAATAAGTGATAAATTTTAGTCATGATTATACTGGTAAGGATAGTGTAACATTTTGTCACTAGAGGGCGCTTTTCTCAATGTATGCATGAATAGATATGGAGGTCACAACAAATAAAACTGAAGGCAAGGCTCTTATTGTCACGTCACTCATGTTTGACATTTACTTATGTCCTGTGTAGAATGTATTGTTGATTTGAGTGAAAGTAGGGTGTTACATGTCATGACACTGTCAGAGGTAAAAATTGAATATTTATGCCACCGATGAGTTGCTAAGCAACCAACATATGTCGAATGATTTTGATCAAGTAACTATCACAATAGGGTATTATTTTGTTGATAGGATGTAGGTGTGGGATTAAAAAGACCATTCTTGAAGGGATGTAAATAGCTAGTAAGATATCAAAACATGAATTGCAAAACAAAAGAAGTTGTTTGCAGCTGTGATGGAACAGCTGTTTCATTGACAGCCATAACCTTCATGGTATATGTAAGATATGGATTCAACAAAGCAACATTCACTTGTATGTGGTGCTATGTCAATCATAAACTGTAGCATATATTATTGAAGAGGTAAAATAAAATTTACTGATGTTACTTGTTATTCTGTGAATGTACAACAATCCTTGTCAATGTATTAGTAATTTCTAACCAACTATTTGCTTGGTTCATGACCTAGAATATTACAATTAAAATCACATATAAATATAGAAAAGAAGTGTATTAAAGGGTGGTAGTCTTGCACATGTACAATAATTGTGTTAATAAACATTGATTTTCCCACAATTCAATGCGCTCTTCTAATGGAAATCACAAGTACGAGTTTTGCCCTGGGTGCCACTTGCACTACTTACCACCGGCAACTTTTTCGATACCTTCCAATCACCGAAAAGAAATACATAATTAAAGCATGGTAACCTCTCTATTTGTACTCTTTGTCAAAATCGCCATTTTTGTTTATATGAGACCCATATCTCATGCATGAGTGGTGCGAGGACCACCACCTTCTAAGATCTATGTTAAAATCTACTGTTTTCTTCATATTATTCCAGTAGCGTTCATTCATTCATTCAGAGATAGTAAACAAAAAACTACAAAATCAATCAAACTTAAAATAATGCAGAAAAACAAGAAAAATAGACAATTCACTGACAACTTTAAAAACTATTTTGATTACTTAAGGGCTTGATGACACTGGAATGCATATTTTCATATGTAAATCATCAAAATTGGTTTTGTTCACTATAAACAGTGAAATTAAAAAATTTGTCACAAAAATAAAACAACATACTTGTGAAAGAATAAATTATGGACAAATTTACTGATTATAAACTGCTGAAAAATGTCATTAATTATTTTGAGTATTAATGTAAATTATTTTACATGTAGTGATACACTTACAGATTGCAATGTTTTGTGTGTTTTTAATGAAATGTGATATCATGTCAATGTACTTTGTGCATATGGTGAATTTGTGAATACACTTCACTTTGTGATAATATAAAGAAATTTCTATTTTTAATAAATATTTTTACCATTTTTGGAAGTATACTTTATTTCTTCTTTAAACCAATCAACTTAATTGCTTTAATATTGGATGTTTCCGTGGAATATCCAATAGCTGCACAGCTATTGGGGGAGAGCATTTATTTGTACATGGCTGTGTTGGATATACATGTATAATATTCATGATAGAAGTTATAGGTGGGTGTGTCATTCACAACCAGAACAAAACTACTTTAATTCCTGTGGGTGTGAGTGTGGAGCCCTTTTGACCATCGCGTCACATGTTCATTCATCTCGACTGCAATTACAAATCAGGCTTGAAATCTCTCAATTATGAAAAAACATATGCTCCTTTAATAAAGAAAAACAGTATCCATGGTTATTATTATATCTGATCACTATCAGAATAGATATTTTATTATGTGAAGAAAATATTATATATTAAAATAAAATTTCAATTTCTAAATATTTGTTGGCACTTTATGATATACCAGAAGTTTTAAATTTAATAGATCTCATTCACTGACATCTACTCATTAGTCATCAAAATACTTTTTAATTTTGCTGCCTATATATTTCTTGACTGGGCCTTCTGATCAAAGTCTTAAGGCAAACCCTGACCTCTTATTATTTACCCATGTTTTGACCTGTGTACATTTACATGTTGGGGTTAGTAGTCTTCTATTTTTATCTCCTGTTGTTGCTACTGTGTGGGAGGTAAAGAGGAGAAAAGAGTAGATTATATTAAATTTACATCATCCATGATTATACCGTAGCTGTTATTCTATTCTATTCTATTCTATTCTATTCTATTCTATTCTATTCTATTCTATTCTATTCTATTCTATTCTATTCTATTCTATTCTATTCAAAAATACTTTCTAATACACAGTTCTCTAATACAACAGAAAACGAAATACATTTCATAATACACTGTCAAATATATACAAATGAAAGACAGAAACCTCATGAACAATTCAAATGAATTTACAATAACTTGTCAACACAGAATTACACAGACAAGTTCAAAATTTGAAAACGACAGAGCCATTTCTGCTTAGACATGTTATCAGACACATAAACAATGCTTTTACTAAAAGACAAGCACTAGCTTATTCACACCATATCAACATGACAAAGAATTAGTATTATTTACAAACCAAAGAAGAATTGTAATTATTATTATTATATAGCATATTATTCTTTGCTATTCGAGAAGACATAATTATATGCATTTTTAGTTAACCTGTTCATTCTGTTCATGAAATGAGAACAGAGTTCTTTTAACAACATTATTGTATTTACTTTTAATTCACAGTGTGTGGGTGTGTAAATGCAGGCAGGCTGTGCTGCTGCCACAGTAAAAATAATTATCAGGTCTTTAAACATGCTCATTTAAATATTCAATATATATTTAATTGGTAATGGCCAAACGAAGAGCTCTGAATTAATTATATTAATTTGCTGCTGTTCATATGTATAACTCTGGACAGCGCTATCTATTAATATATAACATGTGGGGTTAATTTAAATAAATTTTAATAATTATTAGCATGGATTATATTTATAAAAGTTGGGTGATGCTTAGAAATTAAATTTACAATGAACATGACATTGTTTATTAGTGGGAAAGCCCACCATATGCTGTAAACTGTCGCCCAATGAAAGCCATGTTTTGAAAGAATAATCATGTTGTCATTGATGTAGTTTGTGTGTATAAAGGCATGAGCTAATCACTATTATAATTCAGTGGACCATGTCCAAACCAGCTTACAAAGCAGGAGAGCTTGGTTGCTGCAATTTGCGGTGAAAACATTGGGAGCATTTATGGGTAAAAAAAAAATGAGTGGGTGGATCATCAGGATATAAATAAGCATGTCAGATATTCAACTGCAGTGTTGATTGTTGTAGAACACGTGTGCACAGAATATGTAATAAAAACAAAGGTGAGAGGAGAAAACGGAATATAGATAAGGATGTTAGAACAAGTGATGTAGTTCAGAGTGGATGTGCTTCTCGATACTGATGTCATTTTCATACTCCATTGATTGGTCTGTGCGTTATCTCTACATCATTTCACGTCTACGGGAAAGAGTTTATTACCTGTTTTTGGAGGACCCTGCAAATCACCGTACCGGGCAATGCAACTGTTATCTTGATCAATTGCTTCCTCACCTTTGTCTTCAGCTTAATTGCACTGATTTTTTCACTTGCGTATATTTTGTTGCCTGTTCAAGTAATCTGTGAAGATTTTTTGTCTGGAAGGCACTTTGGTGTAGTATTACGGCATCCAAGCTATGATCAGATAAGTAGGTATATATAATAGCGGTTATCGGTCACCTATAGGAATGCCTGAGAATATGACCATGTTACCGAGAATGTACAGCCCGAGTTGATAGATCACTTGTCTACTTCATGTGGGTGTTAATTGTACACTGTAGTTGTATGGAACTGGATGTCGTCATACACAGTACACTTATACTTGGATCAGCTAATATTCTCCAATACCTCTATTTAACGATTGCCAAAAAAAAAATGATAGAGAATGATGCCGTATTTTGTAACTTATTGCGGAGAGATTGCAGTCATCTGTGATTTGAAGTGTGTTCTTTGACACCTATCTGTGCATTCATTCAGCTACTCCGGGACGTGTGTCTGTGTTACCTCACAAAGATGGCGGGGTCGTCGCCCAAACCGCTATTCATGCCAACAGCCTCTTCATTGGTCATGGCACTACGAAACCAAGCCTGTGAAATAGTTAACATAGTGATGTTTGGTTGGTGTCTATTTATCCTATCTTAACTGTTTTTTTTATCATTCTATGCATTGCTACAACACTGCATTTTCCCTTCATTTAAGTCACCTCCAAGTCATTTTTATATACATCCCTTATTGTCGTTAATATTTTCATATGTATTCTCACCATCTCATCCATCAATCTGTGATCTTTATTTGTATTTCCATTTATGTGTCATTGTATTCACATTTCTATTCATTTTTCAGTAGTAACAACCCAATAGCAGTCTATACAAATGTTATTAAAGTCGTACACACTACACATTATACTTACTTTTTATGTTATACATATGTTTAATATTTCTTATTCTACTGACCTTATGACTTCAGACAGTTAGTCGATATAAATCAACTTAATTAAATTCAGTTACATTATTACAGGGAGCATTTCAGCACAGTTTTGAAGGCATTAATGCTGACATGTTCTCTCTTAATTGAACAATGATTTATGTGCAAGAGTATAATCAGTATAGGATTTTCTCAGTAATGAAGACATTGACCTCATCTACTGTGTCATCTAGGAGACAGAATGAGTTATAACCTTTTGTATTAAGATACATCAATTTGTAGTGGTAAGTTATATGTTGTAAGGAAGGCAGTTGAATCTGATTTTCTTTTGGGGGGGTTAAGACAAACAAAAAGGCTAACACAAAATTAGCATATTTCTAAAATATGAAAAACAGTTGGAGTAAAATATTGTATGTGATGCAAGTAGACTTTTTTACATGAAAAAGTGAAATATCATTTTTCACTTCACATTTTCGTCACTCAGGTGTGTAAATGGAAGCTATATATGTCATTGGAATATCACGTCAATTCTGTCTCACAAAATCTGGCCTCTGTGTTGCTGCTATGTTGTCACTTCAATTCATGGCCTCTGTGTTGCTGCTATGTTGTCAATTCAATTCATGGCCTCTGTGTTGCTGCTATGTTGTCACTTCAATTCATGGCCTCTGTCTTGCTGCTATGTTGTCACTTCAATTCATGGCCCTGTGTTGCTGCTATGTTGTCAATTCAATTCATGACCTCTGTGTTGCTGCTATGTTGTCAATTCAATTCATGGCCTCTGTGTTGCTGCTATGTTGTCAATTCAATTCATGGCTTCTGTGTTGCTGCTATGTTGTCAATTCAATTCATAGCCTCTGTCTTGCTGCTATGTTGTCAATTCAATTCATGACCTCTGTGTTGCTGCTATGTTGTCAATTCAATTCATGGCCTCTGTGTTGCTGCTATGTTGTCACTTCAATTCATGGCCCTGTGTTGCTGCTATGTTGTCAATTCAATTCATGACCTCTGTGTTGCTGCTATGTTGTCAATTCAATTCATGGCCTCTGTGTTGCTGCTATGTTGTCAATTCAATTCATGGCCTCTGTGTTGCTGCTATGTTGTCAATTCAATTCATGGCCCGTGTTGCTGCTATGTTGTCAATTCAATTCATGGCTTCTGTGTTGCTGCTATGTTGTCAATTCAATTCATGGCCTCTGTGTTGCTGCTATGTTGTCAATTCAATTCATAGCCTCTGTGTTGCTGCTATGTTGTCACTTTGATTCATGGCCTCTGTGTTGCTGCTATGTTGTCACTTTGATTCATGGCCTCTGTGTTGCTGCTATGTTGTCAATTCAATTCATGGCCTGTGTTGCTGCTATGTTGTCAATTCAATTCATGGCCTCTGTCTTGCTGCTATGTTGTCAATTCAATTCATGACCTCTGTGTTGCTGCTATGTTGTCAATTCAATTCATGGCCTCTGTGTTGCTGCTATGTTGTCAATTCAATTCATGGCCTCTGTGTTGCTGCTATGTTGTCAATTCAATTCATGGCTTCTGTGTTGCTGCTATGTTGTCACTTCAATTCATGGCCTCTGTGTTGCTGCTATGTTGTCAATTCAATTCATGGCTTCTGTGTTGCTGCTATGTTGTCACTTTGATTCATGGCCTCTGTGTTGCTGCTATGTTGTCAATTCAATTCATGGCCTCTGTGTTGCTGCTATGTTGTCACTTTGATTCATGGCCTCTGTGTTGCTGCTATGTTGTCACTTCAATTCATGGCCTCTGTGTTGCTGCTATGTTGTCACTTTGATTCATGGCTTCCCTTGATATATATAAAATATTCATGGATATCAATAGTAGATGGCTTTTAACCTATGAGTTAGTTTCTTATTTTCTCATAATTTATTATCTCACTTAACTATTGACATTTTTTATTTTGAACTTCTAAATTTTTAAGCTGTTCGTTGTTTCATATGCTTTTTTAGAGTGCATTATGGGAAATGTTAAAATTCTGACTATCTGGTTCTTACCATCTGTTAAACTTAAAACCATTTAAACGTTGTGTTTCTTGAAGCATGTCTCTTTTAAAAAACTTGTCCATTTTTTTTTTTTAAATTGATATTTTTATTTTTGTATTTCTATTACTAATTTAAACTTATGAATCTCAGCTTTTATTTTCAGTTTTCGTGAATATTGTATTTTTTCCAAAGTGCACATTTTTAGCTCAACTAACCATTTGATATTTTATTTAAAGTTACTGTGAATGGCGCTCTATCTCATTTGTCATTTTCAATATTTGTTCTATTTTTGGTGTTTCACATAATTTTATTTTTTATTTTGTCTGTTTATAATTTGTAAACTCTTTTGTTGAAAGCCACAGTGACAGGCCTATTTTTAACACACATAATGTTTTTTGTGGGCCTTATTGTTATTCTCATATTTTTGCATGTTTTCAATAGATGGTCGTTTTTGATATGATATTTAGTTACACCAATCTCATATGGTGACTCAATAATTTTATTTATTAGGTAGGAATTTCACGTAAACACATGTTCGTCTACTTTTCAGTACAGTATGTTTGTTCATTTCAAAACGCACAAGTCTCGAATCAGTTCATCTGGTGTTCTGAAAAACAAAATACACCTTGTTTTGTGGGAAAAGAAAATACAGAGGAGATGATAGTCAGGTGTAATTAAAATTAAAGTCTGCTTGTTTTTGTTGTTGATGCATGTGACTTTTGATAATATACTATGGATTTAACTTCAAAATCAAATGTTTGTAAGATGCTGAAAATACTACTTAACTCCTTAAAGGGCGGTGGTCATCGCGCCACGTTCTATTCAATAGCCACGTATACAACCTGTGTAAAATACATTGTTTATTTACATGAAATTCAAACACGCGCTGCGCGACGACCACCGTCCTTTAAGTGTCATTGTAAACTTTTGGCACTACATGTATCTACAACATTATTTTGTATAGTCTGCTCCTTCCTCATATGAAACATTGATATAAAGTAAACAAATTTTTGATCAAAACCGTACAGTCCAAAATAATGATTAAATTTAGCGACAATTTTAAAATATCTCGCTCTCAAAGGGATAATAATGTCAATGTTATTTAGTCAATCTTCGGTCTCTGGGCTGATGTATATTCAATTATAACAATAATTAATTCAAGTATGAGGGAAAAAAATAAACAAAATATAATTGAGAGCTGCATGCATAAAATTACATTACTTTAACATAGTATTATATTTAATCACTGCAATCAATTGAAGTGCTTGATACAACAATATCATAATGATATTTCAGTTGATTTGAATTATTAGGTTTTCTGATTATAGCAACGCGATGAATTTGTTATAATGGTGTTCTTGAAGAGAATAAATTTGACATACAAGTACTAAGTGTTATTCATCCTGCACTTCGATTTATCTACAAAAAGTGCTATTCTTTTATTGCATACCTGTCTGTCTGTCTGTCTGTCTGTCTGTCTGTCTGTCTGTCTGTCTGTCTGTGTCTGTCTGTCTGTCTGTGTCTGTCTGTCTGTCTGTCTGTCTGTCTGTCTGTCTGTCTGTCTTGTCTGTCTGTCTTGTCTGTCTGTCTGTCTGTCTGTCTGTCTGTCTGTCTGTCTGTCTGTCTGTCTGTCTTGTCTGTCTTGTCTGTCTGTCTGTCTGTCTGTCTGTCTGTCTGATTATACTGGCAAATCATGTGTAGTAACTGTAAACCTACATAATGCATTTCTTATGTGAGTCTTGTCAACTAATAATAATGCTTATGTTAAGACTGGAGAAGAGAGTATGACCCTAAAATCTACAGTACTGATAGGTTGTCTTCGACATTCACATTTACTACAACCACTAAATGCCTAAGGAATTAGTTCTAACTGCTTTTACAAGTTTAGAATGATTTTCAGTGAATGCAAATTTGTGAAATTGGTTCCCATTAAAACCAGTATGAATTATTAACTTCTTCTTAAAGGTACTTGTATTACCAAAAAAGTGAAATTTACATTTTTGTGATATTTTTAAAGAGAAGCTCAAATGTTTGTACCGTATGAAGTGGAAAAACAATTTGTTGAACAATTGTAAGCTTGACTTTTACAGGTGTGCTAAAGAAAATTTTGAATTTGAACATTATTTGGAAAAAATAAAAAAAAAAAAAAAAAATCATAGAATAGCTTATACTAAATTTAGAACTTCTGCACATTTTCTTCCCATTGAATCCGGTAGACATAAAGGCATTTTGAAGGAAAACAGGCTATGTAATCTCCATGAATGCAATGAAGTAGGGGATGAGAAACATTACATTTTATATTGTAATAATTGTCAAATCAAAGAACAAAGATCTAGATTCCTTGCAGCTTTATACATCTATGCCCCAAAGCTGGAAGATTTTAGCATGGATGAATTATTTCCTATTATTGTTTCAAGTAATGATTTTTTCATTCTTAGCATTTTTGCAAAATTTATTTTCTATATTCTTGATATGTTTTAGTACTGTAAGTTTTTGTTGTTCTGAATGTTTTGTTTTGTTATTGTTATTTTTGGACTTTACTCAAGATTTCATTGGTACGTTCCAAATAAAAAATTCTATCTATCTATCTATCTATCTATCTATCTATCTATCTATCTATATTAACAATAAGGCTACCAATTCGTTCATACTGGAAGATGAAATACCGGTAATGACGTTGTTTGCTGATGTTGAGTTAAATATAACATAATGTTTAATATAACAACTTATGAGCAATGCTGTTACCACAGATTGTGAGCTACCCCATTAGTGTTGATCAGTGAGTGACATTTATTACCAGACATTCACATGCTTGTTGACAAAAATGTAAATAAATGACGTCACAGTGTAATGGCCTGTTAGTGGCATATACGCCTACTATCAGAGACAATTCTATGGTCAAAATAATGTACGGTATGTATGCTTCTAGTAGAACAAATACAGTATTTTATTACCTTGCCCAAACCATCAAAGATGGAAGGGAAAGGTATATAAAGGCGGCGGCGTCGTTGTCGTTAATAATTGTTATTGTGTGCACAATAACTTTATTAATTCTATTCCAAACTTCACCAC